AATATGAAAGATAATACCAAATATTCCACAAAATATATCACACAAAATATATCCGCAATACCCCCCCTCAAGTTGGAGCACTAGGGTCATGAGTGCCCAACTTGGACAAAAGATGGTGAAACTGTGACTTCCCAAGAGCCTTCGTGAAAATGTCGGCCAATTGAGAAGTTGTAGGAACATAAGATGGAGAAATCAAGCCTTCAACAATCGCATCTCGAACAAAGTGACAATCCACTTCAATATGTTTGGTCCTCTCATGAAAGACCGGATTCTTTGCGATGTGCAAAGCAGATTGACTGTCACAAAATAACTTGATCGCCTGAGGGTGTTGCACACCCAAACTCAACAACAAACCCTTAAGCCACTTGAGCTCACAAGTGGCTGCAGACATTGCCCTATATTCGGCATCTGAAGAAGATGTCGCCACAGTTGGTTGCTTCTTAGTCTTCCAAGAGATAGGCGAATGCCCCAAAAACACCAACCAACCTGTGACAGAACGACGAGTTAGGGGACAGGCCGCCCAATCCGAATCACACCAACCTTCCAAGGTGAGATCACTAGTAGCACTCAACAAGATACCCTGACCCGGGGTACCCTTCAAATAACGAACAACACGAAGAGCTGCATCCCAATGCTCAATGCGTGGCGCTTGCATAAACTGAGACAAGATATGAACGGAGTATGCTAAATCTGGTCTAGTTACCCCAAGGTAAATCAAACGACCAACAAGCCTACGATACATTTCCGGATCCGCAAGAAGCTCACCTGTGGCACGACCGAGCTTGTGGTTTTGCTCCATGGGAAAACCACTCGGCTTTGCCCCTAATAAACCTGCTTCAGAAATAATATCCAACGTATATTTCCGTTGACATAAAAACAAACCTGAAGCACTACGAGCAACTTCTATCCCCAAAAAATATTTCAAAGGACCTAGGTCCTTCATTTTGAAACAATCACTGAGATACGCCTTGAAACCAACAAGTGCAGCGGAATGATTACCAGAAACAATAAGATCATCAACATATACTAAGACATTAATCTGAACTGTGCCTTTAGTATATGTAAAAAGAGAATAATCAGAGTAAGATTGAATGAAGCCGTACCCTTTCAAAGCCGTTGTTAGCTTTGCAAACCAACACCTCGGTGCTTGTTTCAACCCATACAAGGACTTCCTCAAGCGACACACTAATGAAGGATCTGCACCTTCAAACCCGGGAGGTAATTTCATGTATACCTCCTCAGCAAGATCACCGTGCAAGAAAGCATTATGCACATCCATTTGATGGAGTTCCCAGTTCTTTGATGCTGCAATTGCAAGAAAAGCCCGAACCGTGGTCATCTTTGCAACTGGAGCAAACGTTTCACCATAATCTATGCCTTCCTGCTGATGATTACCAAAAACGACCAAACGAGATTTAAGTCGTTCAATATCACCAGTAGAGAAATACTTTGTCTTATACACCCATTGACTCCCTAGAGCACGTTTGCCAGGAGGAAGGTGCTCTAAGGTCCAAGTGCCGTTATCTTCCAAGGCTCTAATTTCTTCCTGCATAGATTGTCTCCAACCTTCATGTTTCATGGCCTCTCTAAAAGATTTCGGATCATGACCACCAACAATAGCTGCCATAAACTTACAGTAATTCACAGAAAACTTGTCACAATTTATATAATGTGCTAAAGGATAAGGAGTACCTGAAGGAGTATTGGAAGACGGAATGGAGGGAGACGGATTTTTAGCAAAAACTGAGTGAGTCACAAAATCACGTAGACGAACCGAGGGAATTTTGTCCCGAAAACCTCGCCCCAAGGGCTGCTGATCTGCTGCCCCTGTACTGCCATTTTCATCACGGCTGATGGACTGCTGTGCTGAAGAACCCGCGCCCATAGCCTCCTCCTGCGGGTGAGCTGAAGCAAGACCTTGGTGGTCTGCCGTAGCTGCACTCGCAGGGTCATGGTCACCCAAATATCTGCCCTCAAGGACACCATTGGGCATATCACGTTCCACACTGCCGTCACACTCCTCAAACTCAACAAAATCATCGTGAATAGCATATTGAGAATCAAAGTCATTAGGCTCAATGTTAACACTGACCGGAGTAGCAAACGGAAACACATCCTCAAAAAATTTAACATCCCGAGACACAAAAAAAACTTTGGAGTCAAGGTCATACAAACGCCACCCTTTCTTCCCAAAAGGATAGCCCACAAAAACACACTTCCGACTTCTACTAGCAAACTTATCTCCATTAGTTTTCTGATTATGAGCAAAACATAAACACCCAAAGGTACGAATGGCACCAAGCATAGGGGGTTTATCAAATAGGATTTCGAATGGAGTTTTATTTTGTAGCAATGGAGTAGGAGTACGATTAATTAGGTGAGCCGCGGCAAGTACACACTCACCCCAAAAATAAATAGGTAAGTTTGCCTGGAATCTCAAAGCTCTCCCAACAGACAAAAGATGCTTATGTTTTCTCTCAACCCTCCCGTTTTGTTGCGGAGTACCCACACAAGAGGTCTGGAAAATAATACCCGTAGTATCAAAAAAATCATGCAAACAATTAAACTCCGTACCATTATCACTTTGCACAATTTTTATGGTTTGAGAAAATTGTCTTTCCACCATAGCAACAAACATCAAGAACTTACGGAAAACCTCCGTTTTATCATTCAGTAAATAAATCCAAACGGCTCTAGAGTAATCATCAACTATTGTCAAAAAATAACGAGCACCGCATGACGAAACATGTCTATACGGACCCCACAAATCACAATGTATCTTTTCAAAAATTCTAGATGCTTTATTGTCACTCAAAGGAAAACTATCTCTAGGATGCTTAGCACGCATACATACTTCACATCCTTTATTTAAACAAGCTTTATTACTAACTGTGGGAAGCAACTTAACTACCCTCTCAGAAGGATGACCCATACGACGATGCCACAACTCCAACTCTGAATTTGCAGCGCTCACATGATGCACCGAATCCATTTTGCTAAAGTAATACAATCCGTCTCTCCTAGTCCCCGTTCCAATCAGCTCCTTCGTGTGGTCCTGTATAGCACAAATATAAGGGTTAAATTGGACAGTACAATTAAGGTCATCGTTGAGTTGCGAAACAGAAATCAAGTTACAACTCAAATTAGGAACATAGAGTACTCCGGTGAGAGTAATCTTGTCCGATAAACAAACAGAGCCAATAAGAGACGACGACACCGTGTCTCCATTGGGCAAACCAACCGGGCACTCGAAGCTTTTTGTGTCAAAAAGCCAATATTTTTCTCCAGTTACGTGATGTGTAGCTCCTGTATCAATAATCCAAGAGGTGTCATCAAACTTACCACTCAAACGATTATCAGAAATTGTAGCATTACCCATCAATCCCGTAATTGCCTTCCATTGTTCACTAGAGAATAAACGACCCGAAGCAAAAGAACTTGTATCCTCCGACTTCGAGCCACCACCCGAAACTGCATTAGCCTTCACCGGAGCTCCCCGACCACGACTAGCTGCGGGTGGCCCCCCCTGGCTGCCAGCAGCACCCTCCGGCCAGCCATGTTTGTCATAACAGCGGTTTTCTTCATGGCCTCGTTTTTTACAGTAAGAACAAATTTTATCGGACCAACACTTCACGGTTTCATGACCCACTTTCTTACACTTGTCACACACTGGCAGCTGCCTGTCAGAACCACCGGCGCCACCTGCACGACCCCTCCCTGCAGCAGTTCGTACAGCGAACCCGAGAGCAGGAGCAGGATCCTCCTTTGTACGAGAGATCCCTCTAACATTCTCCTCCTGTGAAACCTGTTGGTATGCTCTGTTCAAAGAGGGCAAGGGATCTTGCAAGAGCAATGTAGAACGCAAAGCAGCATAATAATCAGAGTACAAACCGAGCAAAAATTGTTGGAGACGATCCCCATCACGCCGCTGTGCGTGTTGCTTCCCAACATTACAAGAGCACTTCCCACAATTACAAGAAATTAGGGGTTCCAATCTATCAAGTTCATCCCACAAAACCGCTAATTTACTATAATAAACCGCAACTGTCATGTTTTTCAATTGCTCACATCTATTAATTTCAAATTTAATCTGTTGAATTCTAGGGCCATTAACGAGACAAAAACGCTCATGTAAATCATCCCACAATTTCTTAGCATTATCATAATGTGAAAGCATAGATTTTACCTCGGGATCGATTGTGTTCATGAGCCAAGAAACTAACATACATTGAATTGTTACCCAATCATCCTTCGTACATGGCGGCTCGAAGGTGGTGATACTACCATCAAGAAAACCAAATTTCCGGCGAGAGCAAAGAGCAAGTCGCACGGCATGAGACCAATCGTGAAAATTGTCCAATTTTAGACGTTGTGAGGTGATGTAATCCCCGGGCCGATCTTGCGGTCCAAGGTAGAAAGGGGAGTTTGATTCAATTTTTGTAGGTGCCGGTGGAGGAGATGTGTCATCCCCGACGGCCATTATTGATGTTTACAGAGAGAAAAAAAACCAAGGCTCCGATACCATGTAGAATTGTATAAACTTACGGCTTAACCTTTCATTAATTGGAGCAAAACATATATATACAATGCTAATTCCTAGAGATACCTTAATTAGGTTACTAGAAATTAGGAAACAATATGAAAGATAATACCAAATATTCCACAAAATATATCACACAAAATATATCCGCAATAGATACATATTAATATGTACTCATCAAGACGAATCAAACTAGATTTCTCATTACTATACTTGTTTTTTTTTATAGATTGAGAGAAATTTAGAAAATTCTCATTGCACAAAATCAACACATTGTATCTATTATGAACCAGAGGTACTACAAGTATGACCGAAACTATTAAATGGAGTACCACTACCAATATGTAACAGAAATAATAAAAATAGACGTTGCAACTTTCATCGTTTGGATGACCCAAGTGTGACAACCGAACCAACCATCTGTCAATTCATAAGAGCACTATTTATACAACTCCCTCGGCAACACAAATTTCTCAAACTCAAATTCAATCACAACACAAACAAGTTTTATCTTTCAAACTTCTACTCTCTAAAAATGAAGAGCTTTTCCCTGCGTTTTGTTGTCTTTGTTTTTGTTGTTCTTCTTGCTCTATCCTACATAACATCTGCTCGTGTCCTACTACCTAAACTTGAACAAGGTATTTTAATTTCCTTTTTTGATTCCCCAATTTAAGTTTTCTCCTTTATTGATTTGTTTTGTTTATTAAGATGTTTTCTTTCCGTCCTAAATTTAATGGATTAATAGTCACTCTACCAGTTTAAATTACATTATTACGCAAGTACGTGTGGAAGTGTAACGTAGTGACATCATTAACACGTTATTCCTGGTGACGCGTTAATTTTGTATTTTTATACGTATTTCTAATTTTGAGTTTTAGTTCTAGACATTTACATATAATGATCAATACAGGTAAACAAGAATTGGAGATCAAGAGCAATGCTGCCAAAATTGAGGATGTATCCAATGTGAGCCCTATCCTCACTCCCTCTTTCTTTTTAATCAAGTTCATTAGTTGATATGATGACAATGAATTTTAAAACCTTTGTTTATTACAAGTATCAATTACTTTTGCAATTGTCAATAATAATAATTTTCACCACTGTCAAAAAATTGACAGCCGTGAAAAGTAATCGCAAAATATCGCAAAATATATTCTACGCGATTAGCAATATTGACACTTTGACAGTTGCTATGGGCCTGTTCTTTCAGCTTAATTTCAGTTCAGTATAGCTCCAATCAGTTTAGTTTAGTTCCCAATTTCCCTCTCTCATACACAATTCATTTTGGCTCTATTTAGTTCAATTCAATTTACTTCAGCTCCAATTAGTTCAGTTCAGCTCGGCTCAGCTTAGTTTAGTAAATAAGAACAAACCCTAATTTTAAATTATTATACACAATTAGCAATAAAGACACTTTGACAGTAGCTAATTTTAAATTGTGGTGCAGCTGATGGGGTTTGATGAGATCGAAGTATGCAGGAATAAAGGAGAAGATTGCAATGCTGAAAGGAAACTGCTTGCTGAGGCTCATTTGGATTACATTTACACCCAAAAAATTGACAGCCCTTAAAAATTTGCTACTATTTACCAAGGATAATAAATATTATAGTAGACATTAAATAGTAACTAAATGAATGTGACTTCATGCAAACTAGAAAGTGTTAGAAGGCTGTATTGCCAGTATATTATACATAGTTCATGCAATATGTATGGCAGGAACTCAGGAAGTATCAAATACCAAATAGTGGAAAGGCATCAATCATATCATATGACATAGTTCATAAATCATAATATTCCTATATTATCAATAATATTGCAATTTGGAATCTCGATTTTTTTTTTTTTTTCAATTGTTCATACAAATATAATTTTCATTAGATCTTGGTTGTTTGAAATTAAAACATATTTAACATTTGTCTTCCGCAGTCCACCAAACATGGATACGATTGGAAGAACTGGGATAAAAAGGTCAAAAGTAGGGATGTCAGTGGGGCGGGTCAAGTTGGAGACCCGCCCCATCCCCACCCCAATGGGGCGGGGATGGGTCTTGGTTTGGCGGGTGGTGGGTGGGGATGGGGATAAAAACAATACCCGCTATGGGTGTTGCGGCGGGGGTGGATTTTAAGTTGTACCCGCCCCATCCCCGCCCCGCCCCACTTCGTACCCGCCTCATCCCCACCTCATACCCACATCTAATCCTGGGCACCGTGCCGTGTCAGGCCGCCGCGGGCCGTGCCTGGCGGGCCACGGGCTGGTTCGTGCCGTGCCGGTCGTGCCGGCGGGCCCAGGATTTCGTGCCGTGCCGTGCCGTGCCGGCCATTTTCACAGGCCAGCCACGGCACGGCACGGCCCTCGTGCCTGGCAGGCTCGTGCCGTGCCGGCCACGTGTCGGCCTGCGGGCTGGTGCAGTTTTCAATTTTTTTTTTTTTTTTTTTTATATGACAACATTATAAATTAATAAGTTTATAATGTATATAAGTTATAAAATTATAATTATAAGTTTTATAAGGTAACTTATAAGTTTATAACTTATAAGTTATAAGTTATTAAGTTATGAATTTTATAATTATAAGTTGAATATTTATGTTTTATAATTTGTATGTTCAATATTTATATTTATATATTTACTTTATACTATTACTTTAAAAATTTAATGTTTATGATTTATTAGTAATTGGTATAATTTTATTTTATTTTAATATGAATTTACAAATTGTAACAAAACGGGGAAAAAAGGCAAATTGGACTTTGGATGTGAATAATGCGTACTTTATATTATTATTACTTGAGTTGAGAAAATTGTACAATGATAACAATGATAAAAATCATACAATGATGGTATTAAACAAAACTTTGAAAATGATAAAATTGATATTTTTAAAATCGTACAATATACAATAATTGTCTATTCTTCTTCTCCTTCTTCTTGCTCGTCTTCGTCTTCGTCTTCGCCTTCGCCTTCAAGGTCATCGGCTAGTTGCATAGATTGGGAACTAGCCGAACCCGAACCGGAAGCGGAGGTTCCTTCTTCGTTGTCGTTGTGGTCGTAAGAACGGTCTTGTGAGCGATTTTCCGCATCCAACCAATCTTTGAAACACACGCACATTTCTAGTGTTTCGGGTTTTAGACTTGTTCTTCTATCGTCTAAAACCCTTCCGGATGCGCTGAAAGCTCGTTCGGAGGCGACAGAGGAAACTTGGATAGCAAGAATGTCTCGTGCCATTGCCGCCAAAGTTGGATGCTTCGAGCTTTGTTGTTTCCACCATGCAAGGAGGTCGAGGCTGTTTATCTCATCGTCGTCCATGCCTTTGGTGAAGTCGTAACTCAGGTACATCTGCAACTCCGAGACGTCGCTTTGCGTTCTCCTGATTGATGAATCACCTGAAAACCTTGAAATCAAGTTAGTAGCTTGTGAAAATAAATGTTTGGCCTTCTTACTTACGTTTTTGGATGGTTGGGAAGGCCCTGAGCGAGGAACGGTGCCATATTTGGCTTCATAGACTCTATATAAAGCAAAAAACTGATCCTTCACATTAGTCTTATAGTTTTCTACATCATCGTCAAGAAACATGCATTGAAAGTAAATGTCAACTAACATAAATGTGTTTTCATACTTTTGCCTAGAATATGGAAGCAAAAATATAAATCAAAGGAATCTCACTATAATATTTACGCCACTTTTTTTCCATTGCTGGAAGATACTGATCATAATCACTTTGATCGCGATGATCAGCGAAAAGTTGGGCGAGTAAGCATGCATTAGAAAGAAAGTTTTGAGCACAAGGATTGTAAACAGTAGAAAAACAATACGTCATGTTATATAATAACTGTAAAAATTGCATATATCTTTCACAGTTTTTTCCAATCATCATCATACAAAGCATTTTGTGGAAATTTTTGGTTGTAAAATAATGTTAACGGGCCCTTGTACTCAATTGCCTTTGTTAACATGTCATAGGTGGAATTCCACCTAGTTGGGCAATCGGTTCTAATTTTTATTACCCTTATCTTTTGTTGTTTTAGAAAACTCTTCCATTCTTGGTATCTCATGTTAGAGCTATTAATAGACATAATAGCATCTCTGATTTTGCTGTAGTATGGGCCAATTGCCCGAACTCCATCCTGTACACATAAGTTAAGTACATGGCAAACACATCTAGTATGAAGAGCTTCACCGTCTAATAGTACATCGGTTAAGTTTTGTTTGATAAGATTAGCTGTGTATGTCATAGAGGTTGCATTATCAAAAGTCATAGACATCATTTTATCTCGAAGGTTGTATTCGTCTATTGCTTGCATTAAATGGTGAGCAATGTTAATGCCGGTGTGTGGGTATTCCAGCATTTTGAAATGTATTATTCTTTTTTGTAACATCCATTGATCATCTACCCAATGGCAAGTCACACATAAATAGTGATATTTATAACCACTATCCCAAGAATCGGCTGTTAAAGATACTCTACAGTTAAGGTTACTCAATTCGGCTTGTAACCGGACTTTGTACTCTAGGAAATTTTTCATTGCGGCGGAACGAACGGTTTTCCTAGAGATTCTTTTATGTTGGGGTTGTAGTGCTTTGTTAATGTAGGTGTTGAATGCGTCACTTTCCGAGAAAAGAAAAGGTTGTTCGGCGTGTACTATCATTTTTTCCTAGCTCATCCCTATCCCTCTCATAGTTGTATGTAAAGCCGTATGGATGGAATTGGAAAATTTTGGGCTGGGTTGGATCACTAGCTGGTTTTGCACAAGCTTTCATGTGTCTAGATAAGTGTCTCGTCCCGTTTTTGGTAACTGCCGTGAATACACTATTACATGTTTTACATTTTGCCTATTGTTCACCATCTTTACTTAGGACAAAATAACGCCATACCTCACTCCTTCGGTTTTTCAAAAGTAGCATCTCAGTTTCGGTTAACCATTCATGATGTGTGTGATGGTTAGTAGTGGGACTAGTGGGAGTGGCAGTAGAAGGGGTAGAACCGGAGGGAATTCGGGTACTTTCTTGGCTACCTTGGCTAGAACAATAGTTTTGTTGATTACCGATATAATTAGGTGGAAATTGGTATGGTGGTAGTGGAAATTGGTTTAGTGGTGGTGCTGGAAATCCCGACGTATTATATGGCTCATAGCCCGGGGGGAAGTAAATGGGGTCATTGGTTTGACTCGTAATTTGGGGGCTCGTTGTATTTGGTGGTTCCCTAGAACTACTACTACGGATAAGTCGGCCTTTCCCCCTAGACCTAGATGATGGGTTGTTCGATGCCATAATTAACAATTAATTTTTTAATAAAAAGTGGTTAACTATAATAATAATAATTAATAACAACAATTTTAACAATAAAAATAACAATAATATTAATTAATAACAACAACTATAACAATAACAATAACAACAAAAATAAATAATAACAACAATTGTAACAATAATAATAATTAATAACAACAATTATAAACAATAACAATTAACAACAATAATAATTAAACAAGATTATTCTAATAATAACAATAAAACAATAATAAATTTTAAGATTAGTTTAGATCTTACAACCGTGCTTCAACGCTCCACTAATTACGATTACGAACTTTTTAATTTTTTTCGATATTAGGAAAATAATTAGAGAATTTAAGAGAATAATTAGAGAATTTAAGAAAATAAGGATTATTAGAGATTTAGAGAATATAAGAGATAAGAAGAAGAGATTGTGATTTTGTGATTTGGGAATGAAATGGAGGTGAGTATTTATAGAATTTTTTGGGGAGCAAATTGGCAAAAAACTAGCCGTTTTTTTGGCTTCTAGCTAGATGAAACGGTAACATTACCGTTGGCCCGCGGGCCGTGCCTGCGGGCCAGCATGGCGGGCCATGCACCGTGCTCGTGCCGGGCCGTGCCTGGGAATTCTCAACCCTGTCCGTGGCACGGCCCGCGGCACGGGACTTGAACTTCGTGCCGTGCCGTGCTTGACTTCGGGCCGTGCCGAACGGCGGGCCGTGCGGGCGGCACGCGGGCCAACCCGGCCCGTGCCCAGGTTTACCCACATCTATATATCTTTTAAAGCAAAATTACATACTTTTATTCTATTTATAAAATAATTACATGAAATACAATATTAATTATAATACTTTGTATGACACTTATATTATAACACAAAAATGTGTATGGAATGTTTTATTTTATAAATTCGTATTAATTATGTAAGATTGTGTATTTGAGATACGGATATTAGGTGGATCTTGGGTGGGGATTAGGCGGGTCTTTGGTGTGGATTAGGTGGGGATGGATGTCCAAGTGGGGGGTGGGGCAGGGATGGTTTTGGAGTTGTACCCGGTGGGGCGGGGATGGGGATGAAAATAGGACCCGCCGCGGGGATGGGGATGAAAATATTAGGTGGGGATGGGGTTGGGAAGGCCAACATCCGCCCCGTCCTACCCCATTGACATCCCTAGTCAAAAGCAAGACAAACACCTAAAGGGTCTAATACAATTAAAGAAAAGGCCGAGTTTAGGATAATGGAGTGTAGGATAATGTAGTTAACAATGCCTATTGACATAAAAAGAACAAGACATGCATGTATGTGACTTAGTATCCTCAACAATAACCTCTGTCTCTCCTTAAGAAAAGAGATTGCGAACGCATAATGAACCCTGAAATTTATGTTTGAAGAATTGAAGGTCATCTTCACTATGAATTTTTCAAAGCAATGTTGTTCTTTGAGGATACTAAGTCACAAAGTAGTAATGGGAAGGTAAGGCCACACAATCTAATAGTACTTCGTAAAAGATGGATATAGTTGCAAAGCCCTATCCCGCTTTAATATCTTTAGAAGACCAGTCG